AACCTAATAAAAAAGATTTAATACTTACCTGGGGTAAATTAGAATTGTAATAGTATTCAGTTGTTACAAAAACTAAAATGGATGAAAATCTGTGTTTATCATCTCGTAGAAACTATTTATCACTTATAGACGATCCAAAAGCTCTATTGCGATTTGTAAACAAATACTGTTTAGTACAAATTATTAAAAACACAACATTTTCTGGATTTTTACATTCTATTGATCCAATTTCAAAGAGGTATCTATCTTAAACTTAAAAGCATTAATTATCTTTCCACGCGTAGTCTGTTATTAAAGCTAATATATGTGTATATTTTGTTGATATGTGTTCATATTGATTTTACTTTGCTTGCTTTTTAAAAATATTTAAATTTGAATTTTAAAAGGATAGAATATACATATATTGTATTTGTAAGTGAAGAATGTTTATCCTACATTTTATTTTCAGCATAATTCTAGCTGTGCACCAAGAAAACTCTTTTCAGATTATATTGATACCTGGACATGCCGTGATGGATATTATTGAAACGGTACAGGATTTTGATGGGGTCTCACCTTTCCCAAAACTAGAAAACAAAAATATGAACATTGATATCATAACAAGAAAGTCAAAGGTTATAGAATGGTTAAAATTAAACCTTTTACCTGTGTCAGAATCAAATGAGAACATAATTGTTGGAAATGTTCAAATTCTACCTCCATATAATGTTACTAACATATGTACAGATAATCCTATTGTTGCAATGCAAATCCGTAAACTTATAGAACAGCTGCCCCAAGATTAGCAATAGTATCTTTTGTTTGTTTTGTTAACTGATTTAATTATTACATTTATTCAAATTATTACAGTTTTTCTCAAAAAATGTAATAATGAAAAATATACTTGTTGGTAAAAACATTTAAATTCAAATTTTGAAAGCAGTAAAACATAACTTATCCAAAAACTTAGCGAAGCCACAGGCGGAAAGCTAGTATTTCTATATATAAGCTACTAGAGTGGTCTTGTTTATGAAATACGGTATTTGTAATTTATTTAGGCAAGTAACTCCAAAAATTTTATGTTATCCATTCTAAGAGACTATCTATTGGTTCATCAAATAAATTTAATGCTATTTAGGTGCTAATAGTGAGGTCACTACTTCATTAAAATTTTACATATTAAATGTGTTCTATTTTTGATTAAACAACACAGCAATCATCTGGCTTAATTCTGGCTGGCTTCTTCAAGGAAGATGTAGGTAGTTGTTTTACAGTTAGGTAAACAGAAATAATTAAATACACTCTCAACTACAATACATTACAAAATCGAATATAACATTCAATTTCTATTGACAATATTTACCACTTTTATCATTCCCTCACTAATGAGGATCGTGACCATATGTAATTTGTCGCCATTTGCTTCTATCATGCGCCGGTTCAATAGATCGTTGTAGAGTTTCTCCTGTTGCCTCTACAATACTTCCCCTACATCTGTCCCACGATCAACTGCTTCTCCAGCTCATGCCTTTGTGATCGCATTATATGTCCGAACAAACTTAGCTGACGTTCTCAGCATATAGAGGTAAGTCTTTTTTTGATGTGGACCTCTTGTAAAATTGACGAGTTTGTCCTCATGGCTGTCCAGGGTATTTTTAAGTTGCAGGTTTCGAAAGCACTCCGTATACAAAAATAGAGAAAACTGCAAGGTATGAAAAATAGAGAAAACTAAGGAATGCACTAGACGAATTTTGGTAGTTCGACGTATACTCTTGTTCCTCCAAAGTTTCTCGAGGCTTGTCATTGCGCTTTTAGCCATTCGTATACGACGGCGCAACTCATTAGTACTACCGCCGTCCTTCGTAATGAGGGAACCCAGGTAAACGAATTGATCTACTTTTTCGTAGTCTTGGAGGGCTAGTGAAGGATGAAGTTTGTGTTCCCGATCTACCAACATTATTTCAGTTTTTGAAACGTTGATTTTGAGGCTGAGTCTAACGCTTTCTTTTTCTATTCTTGTAAGGAGCCAGCTCATCTCCATTAGATGCGATTATGGTCGTGTCATCTGCATATCTCAGGTTGTTTATTTTCCGTCCACCTACAACAATGCCACCTTCCCAGCCCTTAAGTTCTCTTCTCATAATGTATTCTCCATATAAGTTGAAAAATTTTGGGGACAGAATGCATCCCTGCCGTAGACCTCCTGGTAAAGTTTTACAGTTAGTGATTGATGAGCTCCATCTCGACTGAATTGTGATGAAATCTATTTGGTTTCTGTACTTCCTACATGGTGAAGTCCACGTGTAGAGCCGTCTCCTGTGTTGTTCGAACCATGTATTCATCATTGATAGCCTATTTTCCGTACAAAACTGCAAAAACTTTTCACCTCTGTCATTTCTCTGTCCTAAGCTGACCACTTCCCCTTCCCTTCCCGACCACTTCCACTTCCCGACCACTGTGCTATTTAGGACTTCATTGGTTTACTTTTATACTTTTTCTATAATGTACGTATAGTCATGCTAAGTACGTTTAAGTATAAGTATGCAAAATGATATCCTACCATTTATGTAGTAGCATATGAAATAGTATTTAAATAAAAATATTTTTACAGATTTATTAAATTTCATTTATTTTTCAATTTTAATTTTGGTTCCTAAAATTTCAAACCATTTACAGTGATCATGATCACAGGACAGCCTGGGGTATTGGACATCTGAATGTCATCGTTAGCCCGAGCTACCACCAGTTCTAATCATTAATTTTGTGAAGGTGCTAATTATGTCTTCTTGCACTAGTGGTTCATTTGGGCTTAGTTTATTTTATTAATGACAAGATCTAGGGATAAAACGGATAATGGTTTAACTGGGTATAGGATATTGACCGTACCGGATATTCGGCAAGCTACGAGGCCGGAGCGCCGGATATTCGGCCGTACTCGTACATCGCGGACTGTTTCAATGAAGTGGCATAAGATAATAGTGGTAGTGATATTTCACCACAATTTGCTACTTGTTAATTTTGAGTACCTACTTAACTAATTAATAAAACAAGCGTCTTTGACGTGCAGTTATAAAAATAAATGCTGTCTATAACTTATTGTATGATTGATTGCCTTGTGTAAAATAATGAGAATTTTTTGAATTTTAGTATCCGGTATCCGGCCGGATAGTGCAAACAAGGCCAGGTACCGTATAGTTACCTGATATCAGTTTCATATCTAATACGGAATATTAATATTAATCTACACACCTCGCTGATACCAATTACAGTCAACGGCTATTGGGGTTACGGTCCGCACCGAACCTCGATAGCCCATAGACTACACTTCTTAGCTTAGGCACGCATGAACAAATGCGCCGCCCTACCCATCGTGGCGGGCCTCAAACCCGTGGGTTCGGGTTAGCCCACCTGTTCTGCGTTCGATAAAGCTTTAATAGTCTCCGGACTGAAAGCGACAGTTAATACAAGATAGCTCGCTGATGTTAGATACCAAGCCTGTTCTCTACTGAAATTGAGTGTTTATATAATTTCAATAGCCTTGCAAATCATCTTTGCAGGCGGGTGCCTTTTGCATCAGATTTTCAAGCATCCTCCTTCTTTTATAGTATAACCGATCGAGGGGCCTCCGGCCGTGTCATTTCGCTGCATCTCTGGCACCGTCTTCGTCGCCAAGCGCAGTTCTTCCTGTATTTTACGAGTGATCTTGCGTGCAGCCAGCTTTACGTCCTCCGGTGTTGAGATAGATGCACCGAAACTCCTATGGCCTCTGGTCAGTGAACTCGGGGGAGTTCGTTATACATATACAAAACAGCCGGCAAGGATGGCGCGCTGAATGTGCGAGTTTCGTACCTAGAGGAAAGGGGAGTTGGAGTTGATTCCCTAGGAGGCGGCTAACGCTGGCAGGGTGGCGGCCCTTGCCTATGCCTAGCCTTTGATGAGGGTAGAGCGAGAATGTCTTTAAGCACCCTTTAGTCTTTGCTTTCACGTTGCGTTAATTTGCCTTTGGCTTTATGTTAAATATATAACCAATAATAATAATAACCAATTTTTTCAAATCAACTAATCGCAAACATCAACATTTCTCTGAGGGTATTTCTAGATATGGAGAAGGCCTTCGACAGAGTATGAGTTGAGGACCTCCTGTATTAGCTCTTGACTTATAGTACAACCTAGGGCGCGCTCGTGCGGTTGAGCGTCGAAGGAGCCAAATCAGTAGTACGACGTATCAAAGCCGATGTACCTCAAGGTAGTTTAATCTGCCGCCGCACCTGTATGTGGTGTACACAAACGAAATTCCTACCTTGGAGTGTTACGCTCTCGACTGGAATAAAGACGTGGCGCTCCAGGTCGAATACTCTGTTCAGGGTAGCTCAAGCCTCAGCCTACCCTATCCTGCGATCAAAGCTATTTTTGGTTAAAGTTCCCCCGCCCCTGAGCTCTTTTTTCATAAAAACGGACATCCAAGTAGCGAGCAACTGCGCGGTTTTACTTCGATGAGCTCTGAAACCGAACAACAAGAGAAACCAAGTTTAGGTTTGGGCGTCTCGAAGCGGAGCAGTGCTTAATACTCAGTGAGGTTTGCTTCGGAGGGCTGAGTATTATATAGCGTTTTGATTTTAAGCTTTTTTTAAAACTATGATTAAGTATTTTTAGACAGATGCCAAAATTTAAGTTCATTATCCCTTTTCAATCGATATTTTTATCTGCCTATATCTCTTTTGCATTATTATTTAGAACAATTATTTTCAATTTAATCTTTAAGTAGTTGTTACGTTATGTAATGTAGGAATTAACATGATAGTGTAAATCTACACACTGCAAGAATAGTAGTTGAGTTGAAGGAACTGAGAAGATACGACGTCATTCATCTAGGTATACTACTATATGTATACGTTGGATAATATTGATAACACACGCACAGTGTCATTCAACAGAGTGCTCAGGACGGACAACTGTGTATTGTGCGTAGTAATTTATAATGTTTTGGTTATTGTGATTATAAATTTCAAATCAACTAAAATATGACTAAAAAAACGAACAGGGCCGTGCAGTATTTTGCCGGCATTTGTGGTACGTTGCAGAAGAAATTTTAATAAAAAAAAATCTAATGTTATGATTAATTATCTATTAAACGTAATATGTATTATTCATATTTAATTTATTTTTACCGTATTTTTATAGCATCGTTTGCGTTTACATTAACTGGAGCTACTATTTCGTGGCCGTCTCCTGTGATTCCAAAGTTCAAAAGTGGCCAAGCAAATATACAACTCACAGACGTAAGTTCAACACACGCATATTTGTAGAGCAGTTTCTAATTTCGAATGTACGTCATTGTCTTTAAAATTTGTTTATTTATTAAGTATGTAAAGTATTATTTAAAATACATTATAACTACCTTTGATAACATATGGTCTGAAAATTATTATTATCTATTTAAGTAGTTATAACAAACACACCAATGTATTCTAAAAAATGTATCGGGGCCATAGAGAGCGCTACGTAAAATAGAAATAGAAAGTGCCATTTTTAATTGAATAGTTGGCATGCGAGCAGGCGGTTCTCCTGTTGTCGAGTGATTATCGCCGCTCATGGACAACTATGATACGTAAGAGGTTGCAGATGCGTTGCCAACTATTAAAGAAGGTGGGCCCCGGTTACCTCACGCAACAACAGACGAAACGCGAAAGTAAATCTTCACTTTCACTTCACGCCGGTCTTCTGCGAGGCCGTGGTACTTCCACGAACGAGGCTGCACAATCGTGCAACAGTGGTACCTGCTACGTAACCCACAGTTACGATTAAAATGCCTGCAACTATCATTAAAGTATATATACCTATGCAAAATTTCAGACTCTTCTTATTCATTATTAATTTAGGTCAGTTGGCAACAGTTTAATGTGCTCCGTATAAATATTGTGCTCTTTATTTATAAGGACCACATTGCTTTACATTTATACTTATGTCCATCATGATTATCAGCCGCAAGACGTCCACTGTGGAACATAGGCCTCCCCCTTAGAACGCCACAGCGAACGTCACTTTGCCGTTTGCATACGGTTGCTCGCGACGCGACTCTTATGATGTCGTCGGTCCATCTAAAGGGAGGCCTTCCAACACTACGTCTTCCGGTTCGTGGTCGCCACTCGAGAACCTTCACTCCCCATCGGTCATCAGTTCTTCGATCTATTGGACCTGCCCTCTCCCACTTCAACTTGGAAATCTGGAGAGCTATGTCGGTGACTCAGGTTCTTCGTGAATTTCCTCGTTCTACGAGCATAGGTCTCTCCATAGCTTGTTGTGTGAATCTGAGCTTCTTTGAGATTCTTATGTTATAACGTAACATCTTTTCCATTACACCTTTAGGTACTCCAATTCTTACGAGTATCATTTATGATATCGTCCCGGTGCTTGATGAATATTATTATTTGAATAATACCCCTTGTATTATTCATTTCGGAGTTTTATGAGGGTTCCGTACCCAAAGGATAAAACGGGACCCTGTTACTAAGCCTCCGCTGTCTGACTGTCTGTATGTCCGTCTGTTACCAGGCTGTATCTCATGAACCGTGTAAGTTAGACAGTTTTCACAAATAAGTATGTATTTCTGTTGCTGTTAAAAAACAAAATAAAAAACTCACATTTGGGTCCATTATTGTTTAATGTATACATAAATGACATATCTGATTGTTTTATTAACTCTCATTTTCATTTGTTTGCGAATGATTTAAAAATAGGCAAACCAATTATAAATTATTTAGATGTAATCGGATTACAAGAGGACCTCGACAGATTAGTTAATTGGTGTAATTATAATAAAATGTCACTTAATGTTGACAAATGTTTCTATATCCAATTCACTCGCAATAACATTCGTCAATTCACACCTATACGCTACTTAATCAGAAATTACGCTTTGTAACGGAAATACGAGATTTGGGAATAGTTCTGGATCAAAAGTTGAAGTTCAACAAACACATAGACATGATTGTGACGAAAGCTTTTAGAGTATTGGGTTTTGTATTGAGAAATTCACGGGACTTTAAGAAATCTTCGAGTATTACTTTGTTTAATTCATTAGTAAGATCCAATTTAGAATATAACAGTGTGGTTTGGAATCCCTTTTATGATATTTATTGCAAACGATTAGAAAGTGTCCAGAGACGTTTTCTTTACCATCTGTCATTTAGAGTTCAATTAGTTTATGCGCTTCCTAGTTATAAGGACCGTCTAAGTCATTATAGCATTCGTCCTTTGGCCAGTAGACGTAAGCTCTTGGATCTAATCTTTTTTTTATAAACTGTTTAACGGACTGCTAGATTGTAGCGAATTGCTTAATACAATCGAACTAAGTGTTCCCCAAAGGTTACCCAGGAGAAAATCGTATTTGTTGTGCCAGCATTTAAAACTAATCTCGGACAATTTTCAACACTAGTAAGACAATGCAAAATGTATAACACACTCTCATAGTCATGATATAGATTTAAGTATATCCTTGGAAAAATTTAAAAAGTCAATCTTAGATTATTTATTAGACTACGATAAGTATAAGTATTAATTGCCTTCATTGATTTTATCAAAATTATTTATTATGTTATAACTGTTATTAAAATTTTAGTTTTGTTAAATTTTTCTCACACTAGTTTGTAGATATTACATTATTTTAATTAGGGTATAAGTTTATGCAAAGAAAGCTGTGTCCACCTGTAATTGTTGGAACATTTACGACTTATTTTTTTTTTAAATTGCTTTGCATGCTTATTGTGTCCAATGTTGGTGAACCTTAATAAATAAATAAATAAAAACCATTTAAGTGGGGCTCCCATACAAAAGACATGTTTTTTTGCCGTTTTTATAGATGTATATACGGCACCCTTCGAGCATAAGTACGACTCACACTTGGCCGCTTATTTACTTGTTAACATACAGACTCGCATAAATTAACGACGCGTCACGAAATATCATAAAGTGCACAAGTATTTAAAAGCGCATATCGGGTGGTTTTAAGCTCTTGTATCTGAGAGAATAAAATAGGTAGGTACCGACAGATCTAAAGTCGTACCATATGCCGTACTAGCCGTACCACCTCATTATGACGACACCTGAAGGAGTTTTTGGTTAAGCCCTACTTAAGCCTATTATATTTTTTTTAGTAAGTAGTTAATTAAATTTCGTCCACAGAAATTAGCCCTGTATGATTAACATTAAAAGATAGAAGTGAAAGAAAATCCAAGATGCGCCTTGATATTTGCGACGGTTGCATTCTCGTTATGTTTTTAAACTATAATTATGATCTATGTTGTAATGTAAAAATTAAGGGAGAATGCGGTTTTACAGGGGCAGATATCATGGATTGTGGCATTGGCGGCGTTGGGTGCCCTGCCTGGTTGTTACGTCGGCCAGGTCCTTAGCGAGCGTGTTGGGCGAAGGCGAACGATTCTTTGTGCTGCCTTGCCGGGAATTGCAGGTGCGGTATGTTGAATATTTTGTTTAATCCATCTCTTTGGTCAGCGGTTTTTTAAAACGCCCGCGAATGTAGTTATGTGAATGATCAAGCATCACATAGATCTAACTGTGGTAGGGCCACGCAATGGTGTTCACTGTTGCACGTATGGGCAGGTCCGTCCGGGTAAGCACCACGACCTCACAGAAGACCGGCGTAAAGTGGAAGTACAATACTTTCGCGTTTCATCGTTTCGTGGTGAGTGAGGTGGCCGGAGCCTACAATATTTAAAGGTGGCAAAGCTTTTGCAACCATACGGGTGTTTGCAAATGTCCAAGGGCGGCGGTTATCACTTAACATCAGGTAAACTGCCAGCTTGTTTGCCACTTAGTCACAAAAAAAAAGATGTGAGAAAAGTGTATGACAGAGATTACGCGTCTTTTATAACGTATAAACATATAACTTAGTTTATAACGTATAACGCTAACGTATTTTTTTAAAGGTCGACGTGTAATATCGCAGAGTACTGTATTTTTATTATTTGACATCTGCCTTAAAATGTATATGTAATATTCATTTTCGTAGGTAAATTTTTTCGTACGTAAAATGAATAATTTTTTAAATTATTTTATTTAGTCAGTGTATACAAAAAGAAATGTAATTATAAGAAAAGATTGGTACAAAGGCCCTCAATGTAAGTGTGAACAAAATCGGTACAGGTTTTTGGAATCCAGGAATACAGGTGGTTGGATTCATATTAATTGTACCTAATTACCAAATTGAGCAACTAGCTCAGTGTAGAGCGTGGGTAAAATGTTCACAATCACATTTGACATTCTGTAGGAATTTTTATCGCTGAGGCATATTTCAACGATAAAAATTACTATCAAGGGACATAACACCTGTGTAGGTTGCTAAGTCTCTTGATCGTACTTTAGTACTTTAGATCGTACTTCGAGTCTGAATAAAAACCGAGAAGATCGGTAAAATAGTTTCATTTAACCATGAATAATATTCGTGTAAATCAATATATTCCAGAAATCAATATATTTTATTTGTCCAATTGTAGACGATGATCTTATTCACGAAAATTGCTGAGATAATGTATGTCGCGAGGGTGTTGATGGGAATATCGAACGGGATTACCGCAGTGGTGAGTAGTATTTTTATATTGAGAAAGTTATTCAATTCGATGTCGCTTACTTATTGACGAAGTTGACTGCAGCATCTACAAAAATGTTTTTGTATTTAGCTACGGAAGTCCACCTTATCTAATTAAGTACTGGTATTTTTCACGAGGCAATGTCTAGTTAATAACTTCAGGTGAATTTGTCAATAACATCAAAATACATTAATAGTGCTGATATTATGCAGAAATAAAAAAAATATGAAAGAATTATTTTGGCTTCTATTTCATTATGAAATAGGATTTGCTTTTGATTTGTTTTAGATTTGTTTTCCTTAGCGACTGAAACTAAATTTTGGTTTCAGGTGACGATGATTTACCTAACAGAAATTGCTGACAAGGAAATTCGAGGTGCCCTAGGCATGTTAGTCCAGGTGATGATAAACCTCGGAGCTCTTGCCATGTACGGCATAGGGCCGTTCGTGTCCTATAATGTTGTTAATTCTATTTTAACAACAATACCTGTATTATATCTGCTGGTTTGCCTATGGATACCCGAATCGCCGTACTATCATTTGAAAAATGACAGATTCGCGGCCGCTAAGAAGGAATACATGGTCATTAAAGGATGCAAAGATGGGAAGGTAACGCCTGGCAATACTAAATGTAAAAAAAAATATTGGATTCGCTCAAGCAATGTATTATCGTTATTTTAGACTGCAGAAGAGGAGTTGAGGATAATCCGCGCCCATGTTAGAGAGAGTATGGAGAACAAGTCAACGATGAAGGAACTCTTTTTCAAGGACAAGTATAGAAGAACTGTGTATATAATAATAGGTATTTGATTATGTAATAGTAAAAAACAATAACTTGTAATGGATGGAGACATGTCCATTATTTAGGAGTCATCTTAAAATGATTCATATTTTAGTGATTTATAGAGAATTTGATATATAACTAAGAATTAAATTATACCCACTTATGGTAAGAAATTCACACTTCACAGATTTTATCGCGTTATTTCAAACACTTTACCGCTCAGTTTGGCGACAGACTGTCCCGTAACCTTGAACTCTCGGGTATTTCAAATCAAAATATAGCACGATACAATCCGTAAAATATATTAATTAAATCCTATATATCGCCTAATTACAATCAATGTTCGTGACCATTTAAATAATTCAATGTTGACACAAATGGCGTACCTAAAAAAATGGATAAAATTATCATCATTTATAGTAGATCTTATGTTTTATAGTTAACATCTTAGTTCTAACGGTCTTAATTGTGGGCAAATTAGACTGTACATAAAAAACGATAGTGTTGATTAGAGATATGAGGGAATTGACACAGACGTAATACTTGGTGATAAAAGATAATTTGATCATACGATTGCTGTCTTATCTTTGCGACTAGAGATCGTTCAAATAGTACCCGATCAATGTACAGTCGGGACAAAGGAAAGTGTATTTGATGAATTTAAAAAACCTTATGATGTCTTTTATGAATTTATTTTCTTTGTACAAGACTTCTTCTGTTTAGTGAATGATTAAGGTTATTACAGTACTTTCATACTATTCAACTTTAAACATTTTCAATAGAGGTTTATGTATGACAATTTTAATATGTTACTAATTCATATACACAATCATATTCCAAGAAAAGTTCTTGGTATTACAATGCCAAAACAACAAGTTGCAACGAGAAGCTTAGTAGGTACATATTTTATCAATTATACCCTTAGTGATAAAAGGAAGAAGGAGTTGTCTTCTTATTCACTCCTCTGTCCATATCTCTTCTTGTCTAGGTCTCACAACACGGTGTAGGCAGGCTGACTTAAGACTGATTTAAGTCTTTAGGGGAAATGGAGGCGGAAATATTTACCGCGTAGGCCAATGCAATTTTGGTTACACCAATGTTGAAATGCGCCATTCCACCCATCTCTTGCTCTTTCCACCCATCTCAATGCATCTTTTTGCTCAAGATGTCTACCGGGAGGTGTAACTAGTAACTATAATAATTCGCGAGACTGCACATGCGTTACCTATAACTCGAGGATAATAATAAAGCGCGACAAATGTATCGCAACCCTTCATCCACAGTTGTGAACATGATTACACACTGGCAACATCGTTTATATCGTCGACATTTCGCGTTTTAACGTGAAATTCTTTCCAGGTCTCAAGGTGTTGCAGTACATGACGGGCAGTTTGGCGATTCAGTCGTATTTAGAAATAATCTTCCGACAGAGCAGTTCAGTGTCGGGGCCTTACGCAAGTATTGTGTACGGATTCGTTCAGATGGGAGCCGGTGAGTGTTCAAAGCAAAACGAGATTTTTTTAGGTGAATTGTCTGGTGAAATGTCAATTGAATACCGCCCACATTGGACATGAACATCTGAGGGCTTGCAAAAGTATTGACAACATTTAAAAAAGTTGGCCTCGACTACCTCGCAGATAACTGCGAAAATATAATATTTCCGTTTTACGCTGGTCCTCTGTCAGTTATCTCAATTTTCAAAAATCGCTAATTAATATATTTAAATTGACTGTATTTTCTTCTCGTTTCAGGCGTGGGCGCAACGTTTCTGGCCGATTACTTCGGCAGGAGAATCCTAATGATCGTGTCGTGTCTAGGCGTTGCGGTTTCGTTGAGCGTCGTAGGGCTGTACTTTTACTTACAGGACACTGCTAGGGTGGACGCTGGTACGTTAGCCGCGCTCTCCTCCGTCCCCCTTATCGGCGTGCTAGCATTCAACATACTCTACGCGTTCGGCATCGGCAACATCCCTTACATAATGCAAGCGGAACTGTTCCCGATAAACGTGAAGACGGTGGCGTCCAGCTCCGCCACGATGCTGGCGTGCGTTTTGAACTTCGCGGTAACGAAATCCTACCAAGGGATCAAAGACCTGTTCGGCCACTACACGGTGTTTTGGGCGTTCGCGTCCGTAGCGTACCTGGGCGTCGTCTTCATCTACATGTTCGTACCAGAGACGAAGGGGAAAACGCTTGAGGAAATACAGGACATAATGCAGGAGAGACATATAGAAATGGAAATGTTAAACAGGTACGTTGGAGACGTGAAAGACGAAACGCGCAGTTGATAAAGGATAAATACTGTTCATAGATAAATTATTGTTCAGTAACTCAGAGCCGAAATGTTGATGTAACGCATACTTATTGAGATCGATCGATAAGTGTTCGTATATGAAGCTGTGATATTTGAAACGGGAACAATGTTATCATAATTATCGTTTATATTCCACGAAACCTATATTTACATCACTACTGAAATAATAATTTATATAAACATAGTAATTTATATGATACACAGTGTATAAAGTAATAAAACGCAAACTGTGACCGAAAAGAAACTTTATTTTCCTGAATAAAAATATACGATACATATTGTTATGATTGTTACTTCGTACAAAACGACAACGGTAAGGGAATACTAAATGCGAGTTGCACTGAAGATACGATATGGATTGTTCTAAATCCTCTTCGAGTTCCCGTAAGAGTATAAAGGTGCGAAGGGGGTGTCTGCTGGCTCGTCGCCGCTTTCCTCCGACGCGTCCGACTCAAATGTGTTGTCCGGAATGTCGTAGAGGCGGATAAGGGGCTTGTTGGGGTCCTTCATGATGAGGTATTTGCCTGAAAAAATAAAAAATAGAAATAGCTTATGTCAGTGAAAATAAATTATAAAATGAACACAGAGAGAGATATTTAGTCAGTGTTTTTTTTTCGTTAATAAAAATAGTTTTGTATTATGTATCGATATATCGGATCAAATTATATCGGCTGAAAATATCGATGTATCGATTTTTCGACATCCCCACATTCGTCGAGCTGTTGTACCATCTTGGACTATCTCACCGTCCTTCTGCTTCATGCATATGTCGATGATGCAGCGCAGGATGCCCCAGGCGTTGTCCATGGACAGGTTGATCTGGGCGGCGAACTCGTGCGGCTTGAACTGCTGCGTGCCGAGTATCACGTGGCGCGAGTTGTCCCGCACTTGAGCGCGCGACACGTAGCCGAACTTGATCTGGTCGGAGCCGGCCAACAGGGCCTGGGGGACACAGTGTACATTACAGTAAAGTCATCACCATCCTCCTGGATTTATCGCCCTGGGGGACACAGTGTACGGTAAAGCCATCACCATCCTCCTGGATTTATCGCCCCGGGGGACACAGTGTACGGTAAAGTCATCATCGTCCTCCTGGATTCATCGCCCTGGGGGACACAGTGTACGGTTAAGTCATCATCGTCCTCCTGCACTCGTCCCGACTAGTTGGGGTCTGCACGAAATATGAATCATGGTTGACTGGTAGAAAATGCTGTAAGCATTAAGTACGCCTATGTACTGTGTTTTGTGCATAAAGTTTAAAAATCACAACCTAGCGTAAAACAAAGTCGTCCCGCTGTCTGTCTGTCCATATGTACGCTTAGATCTTTAAAACTACGCAACGGATCTTTATGCGGTTTTTTATTAGATAGAGTGATTCAGGAGGATGGTTTATATGTATAATAGGGGTCTCTAGTAAATAAATTAATGAATCATCTTGAAAACGGTTTTGGCTATGTTTCTTACGACCGGCCGCCTGCTATACGTCAACCATCTTTGGGAAACAATCATCCGGATCCGCAACAATTATATGTGGGTCACACAAACGCTTGTCCCGTGTGGAAATCGAACTCACGCCGAAGCCAATAGTTTAGTAATCCGAGTCATCACCAAAACAGTGTACAGTAAAGTATCATTTATTCCCAACTGCTGTAGCCTTTATTTCCCGCTGCTGTGCAAAGACCTCTGTACAGAGGGCATCAGGGCATAGTCGACCAGGCTGCGGATTCACTCACCCCACTTATCTTCGAAATATTTCTTTTAGAAGAGATCCTCACGATGTTTGCTAAATAATAATAAAAAACCATAGGGTTCGCAGTTCGCTATAGGGTGTGCCTATTACTGGAAACATGTGTGATAAACATAGTGTTTAACTGATGTCTGCTGTTTACATATCTAAGAAAATTATGTTCGTCGGTTACATAGTGAAAGCTTTGCTTAGTTTAGGACTAGATAATGTTGTGTAAAAGTATGTCAAGAAAATATTTACTTACATCTATATTTATTTATATATCTGTAGAGTGGTAAATAATTTCTTGTTGATAACAAATGGGCGAATGTCAATTACTAAGTAATTGTAACGATCGGCCTTTATGTATTGTATAATATTGATTGAAAAATTTTTAATCTTGTACTACTGTAGAGTCGTGATAGCTCTGTGTTCGGGCGCTCGCCTTTCATTTAATATACTCGAGCAACCTGAATTCGATCCGCGGTGCCGGCACCAATGAAATTGTTAATTTTAACTGCCGAGTTATCACGTGCTCGGTGTGAGCGGTGAAGGAAAACATCATGAGGAAACGTGCATATTTTCGAAATAAAAATTAAAAAAAATATTTCGAAGATATGTGAAGTCCGGCAAGCCTCAGTGGGGCCGCGTGGTGGACTATGCCCTGATACCCTTTGTACAGAAGGAGGCCTTTGCCCAGCAGTGGGACTCGTATAGGCTGATACTTGACTTTACTTTTACTAGTAACAGCCTATACATGTCCCACAGCTGGGCAAATCATATATCACTTTTACTAGTGTAGATATGAATCACCATCTGATCTGAGGTCAAACAAATCTCTCCAGTCCGATCTGTTCATGGCTTTGTTTCTCCAGCCTATAATCCCCAAAATCTATATGTCCTGTTCGACGAATCCAATCACCTGAGCTTGGGCCTGCATCTACCGCTGCGGCCCTCCGGCAGATATGAAAGAAATATGAAAATCGTACTTGAACGGTCCACTTGGCGAGCTTGCACGAGTTGTTCCTCAGTTCGTTGGCCAACACGGCGCCCCGCTGCGTGTCCAGCTTCTGACGCCACTCCACCCCGTTGGCCACCTTCGAGTCCCACTCGTTCAGCGCCTTGATGGACAGGAACTGGGTCTCGTTCTGAGGGCCCTGCATTACCGCGTCGTGCTCGCAACGGGCTATCAGCACCTGAGAAGGAATAATTCAAATCAGTGGTCGCCATATTCTCTATGGAGATCGGCTCTTGTACTTACTAAAAATTAGCAGAAAAATAATTTTTATATGTAAAACTACATTTCGTGCAAGTGGCAAATTTTTCTTTCATAACTAGTAGAAGCATTCACAAATGATTGCTTTATTTCATCCATTGTTTTTGAAGTTATACTTCTTTCGGTTCGTTTGGATTTTTTCTTTTACATTTATAATGTAAAAAAAATATCAGGCGATATTCAGCATTTGTTTGGTATTTGCAAGTCTTGCGCTTGTGCGAGATTGTTCATTAATAACATAGCTTCAACATTATGCAATCTACAAAAGTAAAGTAAAGTGACAGCCTCTACATGTCCCACTGCTGGGCAAAGGCCTCCTCTATATAGAGGGTATCAGGGCATAGTCCACCACGCGGCCCCACTGCGGATTGGCGGACTTCACATATCTTCGAAATATTTTTTTTGTTATTATTTCGAAAATATGCAGGTTTCCTCAAGATGTTTTCCTTCACCGCGAAGCACGTGATAAGACAGCACTTAAAGTTAAAAACTTCATTGGTGCCGGCACCGGGGATTGAACTCAGGCCTTTAATTCAATATACTCGAGCAACGAGTATATTGAATTAAAGGCGAGCGCCCGGACACTGAGCTATCACGGCTCCTATCTACAACTTATCTACAACTAATCTACAACTTCACAATAATAGACCTTGTGAGTGTTTTGCGTTTGAAACTTCGTAGCATTTGCACACCGACCCCCAAAATGATATGAGGACTTTACGGTATTACCATGGCAACTAATAACAACTTTTTAACATTTAGGTACATATAATTCCAAGTTATAACCGGTATCAATTGAATTTAATGTCTTTTTCACAAACAAAGAGTACTGGCACAGGGGATAAAAGTTTTAGTTATTTTTCTTTTGTTACGCTAAAGAAGTATATCTTCTTACGTGCGTTTAAAGTACCCAATCCCTTGTTTTGCTAGTACGATATTTTGATTATTTTATTTTTATCTGAGAAAATAGAGACTCGCGCAGATATGTCATTTTCATCAAAACATTTAGTCTCTCATTCAGCCATTTAATAGTAACAATGGAGCATAGGGATGGATATACATACAGGTCAAACATATAATCAGTGCAATTGGATAAAAATAAGAAGCAAGTAGTATTATGGCACAATATGACACCACTAGCAACTTATGTAAAACTTGTACTTACCACGCCATTATTAAGGTTCCACTTGCGGTAACGATAACCTACGGAAGCTACTTCGCCCTCTTCTTCCTCAGAGACAAATGGATTCGCCTCCGGAAACTTGTATTTTGGCTCATTTGGCCCAGACTTCAGCACCTGTAAACATGACACATTGTATGTTTAGTTGGCTTCAAATTGTGTTATGACAACTGTTAAATTTAAAACTTTCTCTAATATGCAATAAAATGATTGTTCATTTACATATGAAGCTCTTCTCTTATAGGCTAGTGTTTGACTCTGACTGTCATGGTAAAGGATTCTATTTTACCCTCGCCTTGACTAAACGAAGTTCAATGGGAGTGATGGAGTATACTCACTTGCTGGCTGAAGTTATGATTAATGAAGGTGGCCTCGAGAGCAAGATTACGTGGGGAGTTGATGGAGTTCCCATCATCTGCTGGAGGCTCAACAGATGTCTCATTGACAGTGAGCAAATCAAACTCAGTGTTGTCACGCTTGTCCAAGAACAACTTATCGCCTGAAAACAATTGTTTTAATGTGTAAACTGTGTGGAATAACATTGATGGACGGAACAAGATGACATGAAAATAATTTTTGGTTTTGATGATTGGTGGCTGTGCTTTCAGTCCATAGACTATTAAAATTACATTGGGAAAAGAGCTTGTAGAAAAGCTTTAAGTTTGACAAGTTACAGAAAAGTTAATACTTCTTTGTGTATCGGCACACATAGAGAAATCATTCCTAACACTGTAATTAATAACTTAAATAATTGGTATTAACATGCAGTTAAAATTATACTTTACCAATTTTCTCAATGACAATATCCCAAGAGTAATTGGAACGAGTACAGCACATAATAGTCGCCAAGATAGCATCTGTAGCATAGACAGTGCCCATAGTCTTACTGAGACGACGGATTACAGGGTCATCAGTAGTTGTTACCTATAAATAAATGATATTTTTTAGACGATTTACTTCTTAACCTATTTTATACAGGCATATTTCATTATAGTCATAATTAGTTTTTATACATTTTTCTAAGTTAGTAGTTTAACAGGTAAAAGTTGTTGTATACACATTTAGTTTACACAACAACTATTACCTATGAAATATTCAGTTAGTAATTTAATAAGCTGCAATATACAAAATCATAGTAAGCTAGAAAATATGAACAATTCCATGAGTATAAATTAATACCTACCGTGTGGAAGATACGATCAATACGCTGTAAAGGCTTTTCATGTTTGACATTAACACGATCATACCCTTTATCATAGTACTCCAAAGTACCACAGCATACAACATCCTCACCTATAAATGAATAAGAGTTTGGTAAAATAATTGATGCAAGACTACTGGCCATTTCTACATTTTTACCATTAAAATCTATGTAAATACGACATTAATTGCTCATTTAACCACTGCAAATACTATATATACATTTCAATTAGGCAATCCAAAGGAGTTAGCTAAAGTTTTGGATATGCATGTGCAGAGCTATTTGGAAATAGGTCAGTTTAAATTTAATTATTTCATTAATACATGTATTTTTGGCATAGGATATGGATGATTTAACTATGATATAATTGGTAATGGAGCAATGACAGTTCTATTTTAACATTTCTATTATTTGAAGGTTTCTAAAGTAGTTACAATTTATAGAGATTAAAACATTTTTATATTTTATTATCTTTGTAAAGAATACCACTTTAATAAGCCTACACCCATTTTACATATATTAACTAAATAATTATTATCTTATTGGATACTTGTCAACAGGCAGTTAAGTAACAAATTGCAAATAAAAATTGAGTCTGCAAGTGAACAAGTAGAATTGAAGAAATAGCATTTAGTTTATTTTTCTGTTAAATTCCAGTAATAATTAACTATCAATCAACACATTTCAAAGTGAACTATTTACTAAAAATTGAGCACATTGCCAGGTTTTAGAATTTTTCTTATTTCTTTGTGACTTACTACTTATTACATTTAAATTGGGCTGCAAAGCTTACTTATAGGGATGATAGGGACATATTGGAAACATTATAATTTCTATAGAGAAGATGGTTGCGGTTTATTGTCAACTTGGGCTTTGTTTATTGATATATTGAGGTCTAGCAGCAATGCAGCTAGACTATATATATACCTTCTTTTTAATAAACATAAGTACAAAAATAATTGACAGTGGCATGGTTGAACTGTGACATTAGGATGTGAAAGAACTCATTCTGTCCTGTGACCATGAATGCTGGATAGGGTTTGAAACATTGGGGATTTAGAAATCAAATTTAAACTCGATAAAACACATAAAATAGTTTACTTTGACCATATACATAAGGAAGTTAATAAAATAAAAATAGATGTCTTTACTAATATTATAAAGGCGAAAGTTTGTATGTATGGATGGATGTTTCTTACTCTTTCACACAAATACTACTGAATGGATTTTAATGAAACTATACCATAATATAGCTTATAAAAGGGAATAGCTATAATTTATATAGATATTTTATGTATATCTGTCTTTCTGTCTGAATGTTATGCCTTCAGCCTATTCTACGCAGACGTAGTAGCGGGAAGCTAGTATAGAATATATATGTAGGTAGTTACTCTACATTTATAGTGTGTCGTTACCATCGCGACAATAAATGAACACACGTCTAACGCTACTTGCCAGTAATCATAAAAAAATATTAACGTTAAACAAAATCCATAATTAAAAAAAAAAATTTTTCAAACAAACTAATTAAGTAAAAAAGAAACAAAATGTGTAACATCCTATACAACTCGCGCCACAGCGTCGCATTACAAGCCTCTCCTTCTCACAGTATGTTTTGTCCCTTTTAAATTCATTCAACCCATTCATATGCTTTGTGACCTTTAGAAATGAACTTTACGTTACAGTTTTATACGTAAGGTTGTTCTAAAATTCTTTGTTTTTGAAAATTTTATAACTCGGTAAATATTGATGTTTAAAGAATGTAAATGTTTAATACAATTTTAAAAAGTTATCTTCTATATGTGTGTTCATTTATTGTCGCGGTGGTAACGACACGCTGTATATATCTATTTTTAAAGTAAATAAAAACTTTGCATACCTTCTTTGATTCCTGGCAACGAAAGCTTAGCAAGTCGAGGGAAATCCATATCTTCAATAGTGACCCAAGTGGGTCTAACAGTCACTGATGCATCACGTATCTTCATTGGAGCTCCACGTTGACCCCATCTCTTGCCTAGTTTACGGTCTCGTTGCTATATGTAAAGACATTGAAGTTACAAGGACAACTAGTTTCATAGTGTGACAGAGTCAAAAGATTTGGAAATAGATAAATTTGGTCATTGACCACATTTATCTATTGATTGTTGATTTAGACTTTAGAGTATAAAACATGTCATTACTAAAAATCCTCAAATTGAACACAGTTTTATGACTTAAATTAGATATGCAAGAAATATATACATTTGTATTTTTTCCTTAAAGTAATTTTATGAAAAAGACACATTTTTTTAATATATTTTCTAGCATAATTCATTGTCATTCATTTTTCTAGCATAATACATTTATGTTTGTAAAACATCCTTACAACACAGGATAATGTTATTGAGGGCAATGTTTTTAAAAAAAAACAATTATTGATGGTAATATTAAATGCAACCTTATTTCATTTCATGGGCATACATAAGAGTTGTGATAGCTCAGTGTCTGGGCACTTTCTTTTAATTCAAGCAACCCGAGTACAATTCCAGGTGCATCAATGAAATTATTAATGTGCTTGGAGGTTAAGAAATACATTGTGAGGATATTGGAATATTTTACAAATGATAACAAAAAAATCTAAATATTTCAAAGATAGGTTACATCTGTCAATCCTCAATCCACTGAGAGGTAGCGTGTTGAATTATGCCTTAATAACCTCTGTACAGAGGAGGCGTTTGATCAAAAATTGGACATATATAGGTAGTTGTAAAATGTTTTACCTTGCTTAATGTTGTCATGCCACCAGGAGTTCGAGCGCCTCTTGCACCACGTCCTCGTTGTCCTCGAGCACGACCGCGTTGGTACGGCGGTTTCTGAACCCTGGTGGTGTCCACCAGATGGAAAGTACTCTCGTCCTCATCGTGAAAGTATGCATAAGAAGAACCGGGTCCAAATTGTGAAGCATATTTATCTGAATAAACCGGACAAAACCTTTAGTTTTGCTAATGTCTTTTACCGAATAAGTAATGTAAAAGAGAATGATTGATGTCGATTATAACCTCAAAACTTTAAAATACAAATCATATGATTATGTCGTGTAAGATTGATTTTCTGCCAACGAAACTTACTTTGATACTTTTTATCTTGTACAACAGTCCAATCACTTATTTTTCCAAGACGGTCGCCTTTACTAAATGGTTGGTAGGGCATGTCCCTAAACTGCTCCGGCATTTCGCACGGGCCCCATCCTGTTGGGTTGTCTTGAATTATCGGCGCAATATAACCGTATAGGCTCTTCGGCCGGCAGTACGTGTTCAGACATCGGGATAACCTTCTTTTCAAATTCAATATTATATTTCTTTTCTCTTTACACTTTGTGCCACACGACACTATAGTGAAGTAAACTCAATAGTATTAGCAATAGCAAGCTGAAGTTTCGAATTCGATTAGCGATCGCCGATGCTCCGATCCGATTCCTTGATTGTTGTTTTCAAAGATCGTGGGCATACGATCTAATCGATTTTTGTATTTTTTTTAAATATATTTTTACTTAATTAATTTACTTAAATCTTAGCATTAAAATAAATTTTAAGAGCTTCTTAAAATATATTTTTTAATATCAAGTACCTAGATACTCGAGAAACACATCGTGAGGAAACTTGTATATTTTCGAAGCAATAATAATAAAAGAAATGCTGCGTGTATGCGCGTGAGAAGTTATATTTTCTTGGCGTCATTAAGAATAAGTTTAATTGCATGCAAATGATTAATAACAATAAAAATATGAATATATTCTTTAAATATAAATATATTATTTATTGAGAACAGTAACGGGTGAATGTGACTGAGAATATTTATTTTATTTTTATTTTTATTTAATTTTTTATTAGGTCTGCCAGTAGGTGTTACATTAACAACAATATTATATGAAACATGAATTAATGTTACAACTAAATGTACATCTAATTAAGAGGCAAACACAGCATGCTTAAAAATTAAAACAAAAAAAATAAGTAAAAGTTAAACGAAAAGTGTGAACAAAATATCGTTACATAAGTACTAACTTATTACTAATTAAATTAAGATGAAAAAAAAAAGCAGACTGTAATTTTATAAGGCAAGACAAAAAAGAAATCTATGAAGAAATTTAAGTCATGTGGTATATGGTATTGTTTTAAATGACAAATGTTAGGTTACTTAGAACATCAAACAGAATACAAATGACTTATACAAATAAAAATTACTTAAATCTTAGCATTAAAATAAATTTTAAGAGCTTCTTATTCTAAGATATTCACTTATTTTACTCCGAAATATTTTTAAAGAGTCAAAATGAATATCAACGGTTGTAGTGCATTCATTAATTAAATTAGATAGGAGAGACACTGGTGAGCTTTTCCCCAGAATAGTGCGTTTAATTTGCGGAGCTAAGAGAGTGATAGCTTTGCGGGGATACTTGGGAGGTATACGGTAGTTAAAAAGAGCAAGGAGTTGTGGACAGTCAATATGGTTACAAAGTACCTTATATGCTAACAAAAGATCTAAGATGTCTCTACGATGCGCTAATGATTCCATATTTAAATGTGCTAGTTGATCTTGGTAGGACATGGTTTTGTAGGATATACCCTCAGAGTAACATAGATGCCATACGAACCTTTTCTGTATACGTTCAATTAGAAGGCTATGGGTCGCGAAGTGTGGGCGCCACACTACACTACAATATTCTAATGAACTACGAACCAAACTATAGTATAAAATCTTTTTCGTTTTAATATCCCTAAATTGCTTAGCATTTCTGATGACAAATCCTAGCATCTTTGAACTTTTTTTCATTAAATTATCGGTATGGGGTATAAACGTCAACTTATGGTCTATAATTATACCTAGGTCCTTGACACAATTTGTTTGTTTTAAGTTCTCATTTTCTATATGGTAATACGACATAATTGGATTTAATTTGCGTGTAAAAGTTATAAAATAACATTTGTCAGTATTAAGTCGCATTTTATTTTTAATGCACCAGTTTTTCAATGCATTTAAATCATTATGTAATAAGTAGACATCTTTTTGTGATAATAACAATCACCCAAACGTTTTTTCTTGTAATAAATGCAATATTATACATAATAAATGTAATATTACATATAATAAATGTAAAAATTTAATTATTGAATTTTCTTGCGATTCATTGAATCGGTCTTTTGAAAATCGAATCAAATGCTTGTTTAGCTTAAAAAGGACATCCCTAGTTTCGATGTAAAAAAATTTAGTTTGTCTGAGTTACCATTCTTTAATAATCTTAAATTGTTGTTTGTGTGATTTTAATTTTTGATTTTCTCAATCTAAAATTGTGAGTATAATTCTTATTTAATTTAATGTTATTAAACATTTTCGAACGTTTTAAGTAACGCTTTTGTATAGTAGAGCTATGAAACAGATTTTTGATTCAAGTAAAAGAGCTAATGGTCTTTGAAGTTGAAATGTTCAAACGCTCTTAGGAATTAAAATAGTTAATAAGTAATCAATTTTAATAATTTCATCTTATAATTGCATTGTCGAATTTGATAAAGGGTCTTCAATATGATTTCGTTAACAGGTTAGGACTCAAACTACACAAAAAAGAAATACTTGTTTATGGTTTTTACAGAAATAATTAAAGCGAAAAAAAAGTAATTTTTAAAAATTATGTGCGTTATCATTTATCAAGGCATTTTTATAAATTATTTTATAAATAATTTCAATTACTTGCATTAGTTATTAAAATTGTACAGATTTTAAGTGATTTATTATGTTAGACACCTAAGTTTATCAAATATTGACAATAGCTAATGTAACAAACAAACGATAATAAAATATAGCATAGCTGACTATTTGCATATTGCGTATAGCTTTACGAAATTTGCTATGGTACACTTATATTACAGGGCTGGTCACTCTGTTATTTTAGCTTAAATAATATCTGATTTTATATTTTGTTAGGGTTATAATTATTTATCTAATATAATCATGTACCTATTAATTATTTTTAATAATATAAGAATGTGAGAAATTAATCTTAATGGTAAAATATTTTCAAAAGTTTATTTGTATAAGAGTGAGTGCGTGAAAGCTGATAATGTAACCTAACCTTAATCCTTAGTATTTGTTTACAAAAAACCAATGATATTTTATGTAAGATATATGTTAAACGCATACAAAATCTCCGGTCTCCGGTCGAGTGTTCCTATTTCCAAATAGAGTGACAGTACACATTAACACGTATATTTCGAATAGTGTATCTTGTATCTTGTATTAACTGATGTTTTTGCTTTCAGTCCCGAGACTATTACTTCGAATAGTATAAAAACGATAGCGTAAGTAATTAAAGCAATAAGAAAACAGAGGACAGCAAATGTTCGCACCTTTAGCTTTAAATTTGGTGAATGAATGATTAATGATTGCTTTCTTTTTTATCATCTTCGTATCAAATTTTTTTGCTGCCTCTTTCTTCGTTTCTTTGTTTGCCACGCTAAACCGCCGCCGCCGTAGATCTAGCGCCACGGAAACGTGCCAATTCCCAATCCCAATTAGGTGGGTCTGGGTTTTCAATACAGGCGCGTCACGACATAATTACCCGTAGTATAAAATATTGCGGAAAACTAATTGTGCGAATGTACATAAACTGTATGTTAGCTACTAGTCTTACACCTAACAAAGTATTTTAATGTATTTCTTTATAAAACCACGCGGGAAGCAAAGTACGATGATCCTGTTGATTTTGACTGCATCTTCTGTTAAATGTGGGAAAAAATGACATGACGTTCAATATAGGGATGAGGCGTATATACTGGCACAGGTATAAATACCCAGTATGAACATACCAGTACGCACACCGGGTATGTACGGCAGAGACCCGTTCCATACCCGATAGGTATGGCCACCTCGTCCGACGGTCGCGGTATATACGCTCGCGACAATCCGCCCGCACACCGGGTATGACGTATGTACGGCAGAGGTCCGTTCCATACCCGATAGGTATGGCTATGGCCGCCTCGTCCGACGGTGGCGGTATACATGCTCGCGACAACCCGCCGGCCGAATAGGTACGAAGTTCCCCGAACGCTTACGGCGGCTCTTCCCGATCATGCCCGAATTGAAACGTATGATTTAGGCATTTTATACTAAATAATTCCTTGAGATAAATTTATTCTTTGTTTCTATGACCATAAGTTAAATAAATAATTGCGTAATAAGGTTACAGTAAACAATAATATTTATTTTGAATTACTTTTTTTTGATAATAGGGTTCTTTACGTTAGTAAAGATGGAGCTTATTTTAGACTGATTAAATCTCAATAAAAAAAAAAAAATTATTGCTAAAAAAACATTTGAATGTTCCAATTCCAACCAAAGGTTCAATTCATTTGATTCGACCGCGTCTCCAAAAGAAGGCCTGAACATAACTAATACCTATAGGTATTTTGATACTGGGTTTTAGCACCGGGTATACGGCGATACCCGTACCTTTGAGGCCGGGTATAGAATGTTGCAGGTATATCTCATGCCTAGTTCAATATCAATATATTAAACTGCGTGTCATGTTAGGAGCCTTTTTTATGTTGTTATAAATTTTTTTGTGGTTCTGATAATTATTTGGTATATGTAAACTTTATTTTCAATTAGTTCATTGATAATGACAAGTTCATTTTAATTTAAGTTATCCACAAATACATCAGTTTTCAAAAACACTTGTACTGTTGTTCAGTTTCTTAGGATCATTGAATATTTTGTTAATTAGGAGAATTTAGTATTTAAATTAATTGGTTAAAATTTAAGAATGATAATAACATAATTAAAATCACATTGTAATTTCGTCCGTAATTTCTTCTTCAAATTTCATTTACCTAAATCGGTTTAGTAGTTTTGGAGTGAAAGCGAGATAGACAGACAGACACGAGTTTACAAACCACGTTGTAATTTCGTCCCTGGTAGTGATTAACCGATTTTTCTAGTTTTTTTGTGATTTTTCTACGATTAAAACAATATTTTTTGGATCAAATTGTCATTAGAACAATTTGTAATTGTATTCCGATGTAGAACATCTCGATGCATTATCAAAGAACTGATTGTAAGACAGTAAGTGTTGCAAAGTATAGCTTACACGCAATATAATCCATACTATCCATACTAATATTATAAATGCGGAAGTAACTCTGTCTGTCTGTCTCGCTTTCACTCCACAACTACTGAACCGATTAAGGTAAATGAAATTTGGTACACAGATAGTCTAGAGCCTGATAAAGGATTTTTTATTTTTCTATTTTTTAATTGTAAAAAGGTGTTGTAAAGGGTTGAAAGATATTTATTTAAGGGCTTCAACTCGAGCGAAGCCGCGGGTGAAAAACTAGTAAGGAATAAGATAATGTTGTGTCTCCGCTTATTTCGAGGAAACCAGTATCGCTGTGCGGCGGTTTCGTCGAAACGATAACAATAAGCGATACTTAGTTTGTAATACTATGTATTCATATGAAATTAATAGTTCATTAACAAAACATAAATAGTAGGCTTGTTTGCCTTATGAAGAAGGGTATTCATTATGTGAAGACAACGCGAGATATTTTTGAGAATACATTTGTTACAAATTGATTTTTTTTGGAGCTTTTGTTGTAAAAGGAAGAAAAAATTACACTGGAAGTTTTTTATAGGGGTAATTTTATTGGGAATATTTTTAGGGATTATATTTTATTTATATAAAAAAAAAGAAAACTACGCAACTACATAATTATATGAAGCAAAAAATATAAATCACATTTAGAAAATGTTATCGTCGAGTATTTTCAAAAATTTACTAATAAGTGATTATTAAACATTTTAATGAAATTGTTAATTTGATCACATAATTATTTTGATCATTGTATTACAGAATAGTGACATTTCATAGTTAGAAAGTTTTTTAATTTAGTGAAATTGATTTAGGAGTATTGCTTTTGAAGAGTTAGTATAGTAACACTGCTCCATCGTGGGACTGCATCAGCAACAGTTTTTGTAAATTTGTTAATAAAATCAGTTAACATTTGTATTGGGCAGGCTCGATTTTAGGAGTCCGGGCGAGGAGATGGAGTTGAGTATATTTATTCGTGTATAGATTGCGTTCCTTCAGTCTTTTTACGCCTAAAGTTGTAAGCTCAAACTGTGTTCTAGTAAAGCTTTTTATTGTTTGTGATTTGGTTTTGAGCTTATAGATGTGTCATTATTTATTTGTGTGAATTTTGAATAAGGTTAGCGTATACATGAAACAAATTAATGTATATAAAAAGGCACAGTAAATAAAATGGCAAGGCACAGGTGCTAAATGCTACTAAGCTTAATACCGAGGCTGGAATGAAACTTGATCAGTGCTTCTTCTCGATGTGCGCTACTGAAAGAAGTAAAAAAAATGAGATATTTTAAACCTGAAATTTTGTTTTCTGAAATATTATTAGATGCCGAATCCTAATATCCTAAGATCCTGAGATATAAGATCTCGAAATAGAACCCCAAAGCGTCGTTCATTCGAATTTGTAATAAATTGGTGGACTTTGTGGAATTATCCTTCCAAATAATTTCTATTTCAAGTAATAGTCTAGAGATAGCAACGTTTTGGAGAGAGAATTTCATGTAGGCCAGTTTTTAGATAAAATGCTAACTCTCTCAGGTTGCGTTCATCAATGCGCATTGTACACTGTACTCTTCCAACATAATCACTTTTCACTTTTTATCGATCTGGCTGAAGGTGAATTATTGTTTGGCAAATTTATACTTGTTTATATTTTGAAAAAAAAAATCTTTAATTCAAAATTACAATAAAAATATCTGTCAATAATAGATTCATGTTCATTCATTTAAAAAAAAAAAAACTTAAAATTATTTGCTGTTTTTTTTTGTATAACTGATGTTACGCTTTCAGTCCTTCCTATGAAAGCTTCATCGAACGCAGAACCTGTGGGCTAGACAGAACCCACGGGTTTGAGGGGGTACGATGGGCACTGATGAACGTAACCTCTTCCGCCAGCCAGATAGCCCGTACGACGTTCGGGAGAATGAGAGAGATGGCATATCTAAAAACTGTCCTACCTGAAATTCTTGGTTTCCCGACGTAGCTCTCGTACCAAAATAATAGATTGAAAATTAATATTAAAAATGTTTTGAATTTGATATGAAAATTCAAAACATTTTTTAATAAAGTTTTAGATTTAACTAAAGTATATAGGTGCCATTTTGTTCGATAACTTTCTGCCATCAAGAAGAAAGCTACCTACAAGTAGGGACATGATCCCATTGCTATAGAAATTCTGGGGCAGTTCTCTGGTGATGTTAACCTGACACTGCCTAAAGAATCTGAAGAGACCGAGTATACGGTTCATTAGGTTTCTTTCAGTGAGCTCATGAGGCACCCTAATATCAAGCTTTTTTGTGTACCCAGCTTTTTTCAAATGCGCCAAAACTGTTTTATGGACATTTCCCAGTTCTTCAGCTACTGATACTGATACTGAAAACTACTGATATGCCGATCTTGATCCACTTTTCAAAAATGTTATCCATTTGATCCATAACAGGGTACCCAGAGCGAGGTGCATCAAAATTTCCGGATTGAATAGGCTTAAACCAAATTTGTGCTACTCTCTCAGATACTGCACTAGGTCCATAAATATCACAAATTTTTTCGCGGCTTGCGTTGCATTTTTACCTCACTAGTAGTAAAATTTTAAAATGTATCGAATTTCTTCATTACAATCACTCATCTTAACACTAACAGTAAGAAAAACCAATGAAAATCACACATTTTCCTAATTTGAATTTTTTAATAATACCAAAACCAGCCAGATACTTTAGTATAGCCAAAAAGATTATATTATAAGTAGATACATACTATTTGCGAAAAGAGTTTTTCCCTAACCTAATATTTCAAAAAGCATCGGTCATCTGTTTTGCATTAATATCAATATAATATATTCGAGCAAACTAAGATCAAATCCCCCAATTGCCGACCCCAATGAAATTTTTAATTTTAAATGACTTACGTGTTTAGCGGTGAAGGAAAACCATCGTTTGGTAACCTTCATATTTTCGAAATAATTTAATATTTTCGAAGTCCGTAGCAGTGTCCCGTGGTGGACTATGCCCTAATACTCTCTGTATATAGAGAAGGTGGCTCAGCGGTGGGACATATACCTGTTACATCACCTAATGTGGACTTAGTTGGTAAACATTTATTATAATTTTTCTTAATTTATTTGTAGGTAGTGTTTCAATTCAATTCAGACAATGGAACGAGGCAAGAGAGTGCAGTTCTTAGTGACATTTTCTGGTGAGTTTAGATTTAATCTGTAAAATTGTGACAGCGAAACATAGTTATGCTAACAGATAGTGCTACAGTCATTTACTATATCTATCACAACATAATATAAAACAAAGGCGCCGCGCTGTCTGTCTGTCCCTATGTATGCTTAGATCATTAAAACTACGCAACGGATCTTGATGCGGTTTTTTTACTAGATAGAGTGATTCAAGAGGAAGGTTTATATGTATAATACACTAGATGCTGCCTTCGACTACGTCTGCCTATTATAGGCTGAAGGCGTAACATTCAGACAGAAAAACATATATACATAAAAATATGTATATAAGTTATAGCCTATGTCTTATTCTGATGTATAAGCTTTTTTATTGTAAAGTTTCATTAAAATCCACTCAGTAGTATTTGCGTGAAAGAGTAACAAACATCCATCCATACATACAAACTTTCGCCTTTATAATATTAGTAAGGATTTCCCGTGTGCGGGGGCGTGTCGCCAGTTTTTATATATTCCATGCAAATTTTGTTATATGGATCATTGTGTATGTGAAATGCTAAAAGATTTTTCGTGCATTTTTTGACCCTAAACATTTCAATAACGAGGCCCGAAGAAGAGATCGGCTGGTTCCTAGATTATTGGCCACGGATGAACCGGTTTAAGGGTTCGTCTTGTCAATTGCCATTGCGCCATTTTGAATTCGATTCCCTAACGGCCCATAGATTATTTGATTCGCATACACATTTTCAGAGCATTTTGTACTTTGTGCCTTTCCAGTTTTTGAAACTAACTGGAAAGGCTTTCTTCGACAAAATGTTTGAAATTAATTGCATTTATATAAGTTGTTTGTGAATTTATTTCATGACGACAGTGTCACTAGCAACCCTGACGATGGGAGTGTCGTCAGCATGGCCCACCATTGTGATACCGCTCTTTCACAAAAACGCTACCGACATCAGAGTGACAGACGTAAGAACAATTATGTTAACAATATTGTTTGATATAACAAATTTCAAATGATACTAAAGAACGTGCTGAACATCGCTTCTCAGAAAACCTTTTTCTTTTTCTGTATGCAAGCGCGCTGGCAGTTAAAAAGTAAAAGTAACAGCCTATACATGTCCCACTGCTGGGCAAAGGCCTCCTCTATATAGAGGGTATCAGGGCACAGTCCACCACGCGGCCCCACTGCGGATTGGCGGACTTCACATATCTTCGAAATATTTTTTTGTTATTATTTCGAAAATATGCAGGTTTCCTCACGATGTTTTCCTTCACCGCGGAGCACGTGATAAGTCAGCACTAAAAGTTAAAAACTTCATTGGTGCCGGCACCGGGGATCGAACTCAGGTTGCTCGAGTATATTGAATTAAAGGCGAGCGCCCGGACACAGAGCTATCACGGCTCTCACACAGAGCTATCACGGCTCTCGTTGTATTGTCATTAATTGAATGTTAACGTAATTTTGTAGGTATTTCATAGCTCCGTTAAACTATACCTCAACTTTTATTCTTGACGTTACATTTGTGGAGTCAATTCCGATAAGTACATTACATACAATTTTTTCCCATTAAATGGTTTCAATGATAACTGACTTACTACTTACGTTGCTACAAATCTGTTACTTTATGTAACTCTATTCCACTGTCCTGTATAATGTAATCTTCCAATGTTTTATTGCTTGCCAACTTTGGAAAGTGTGGACACCTAAGACGTTACTCACCGGATTAGGTCAAAAATATACCGGGCCTTATAGAAGCAAAAGTGCGAGTTAACACAATGAATGGTAACATGTCTGCAACAAATCCGGTTTTGTTAATGTCTTTGTAGTAATTATAAACAGTTACCATAGATGACCTACTGAACCGAGATATGATTGTTCTCTGCTGGCCGTATGAGGAAGTTAAAAGTCGAGCTATGGAGCGGGCTGTGGTCGGTATTTCTCTGCTTGATAGATTCTGCAATGAAGATATCTACAGTAGAACAAAGGATTGACAAATCCCTGGCCTCGAGAAAGGAGCTATATGGACAGCTCGTTTCTCCAGTGGTAGCCTCGTATTGGCCTACGGAAGGATGACCCCCCGCTAGATAGAGTGATGACCCTTGCAAGTATACGCGAAGTTGATGGATGCAGGTGGCTCGGGTGTTCCGGGTGGTTCCGGGGTCGCGGAAGATTGCATCCACGTGTTCCCATGTCCCCGGCCGATGTGGGAGTGTGTGCCACTCCCCCGATCCAGTGGATCCCTATAAAGGATTTTTCCCACGGAACAAAAAAAGGTGGCTCGGGTGAGGCTGTGGTGAGCTTATGTTTAAAAGTGGACTCAACAGGCTGAAATTATGAATGATGACGATCTAAACAATATGTTCTTGAAACCTTTTGTACGCCATACGTGTGGGGCACAAAGTCTCTAAGATAAGAACAAACTTAAACTGTGTATTATACAAAGCCTTACTTTACTTTGACTGATGTTGATGTTGGTAGACTGTTATAGCTTCGTCTTACGCATAACTCGTGACATAGCCAGATCCTACGAGCTAAATAAGTAGAAAGCATTTCTAAGAACTTGGCTTGGTTTTGGCTTATCTATTTGAATAGAAATGTACTTTCATATTGTAGGATGTTGCGTCTTGGATGATAGCTATAACGCCGATAGGCTTCACGTCCGGTAGCCTCCTAACCCGAGACTTGAGTGACAAGTTCGGGCGTAGGGCTGTCGTGCTATCGAGTGCTGCTCCATTCGCCTTTGGAACGGTATGTTGACCATACTCAATCGTTTCATGCGTGCTTTAAATATCATCCCATCATCACCATGCATATCATCATAAGTATTTCCCCTATCCTCAATTTAATTCTCAAATAAGAGACATCTTCCCGAAATTCTAAGTATAATATAATATTAAAGGAACCAATAAAGAAAAAATAAAAAATTATGATACAACATAAATCAATAGTTAAATGTTATAATATAAATCAAACCTCAGTATACATATTGAAGGACATTTTTTTTAGCTCCAAAGAATAATAAAGCGAGCTATATGGATAGCTCGTTTCTGGAGTGGTAGTCTCGTATTGGCCTACGGAAGGATAACTAGATAGAGTGATGACCCGTGCCGTTTTAGCTCCAAAGAATAATAAAGCAAACATAATTATAAATATTTTTCTTTGAGAAAACGATTTAATATCACCATCATAATCATCATAATCAGCAGCAAGACGTCCAACTGTTGAAGATAGGCCTCCCCATAGAACGCCACAACGAAAGACACTTTACCATTTGCATTCACCGGTTGCCCGCTATTTGATAAGTACGAAAATATTTTTTTTTAGGACACATTTTTACATACGTTCTCTAGTCCCAAACTAAGCAACGCTTGTACTATGGGTACGAGATAACTGATAAACATAGTTATTGTTATCTATCTATATATTAATATGTGAAGCAAAAACTTTGTAGGTACCCCTCTTTACGAAAATTCTGCCGACGGAGGTGTATGAAATTTCCCACACTTATAGTTTATACAGAGGAGTGCAAAATGCTAATATTTTTTTAATATTACGCATAAAAAATATATTTAATCTACATTACCATGTTATGTATTTAATTATGGTCGAATTTCGACCACTGGGCGACCACTAGTCCGCATAAATACATATTATATTACATACTTGACCGAGGATCGCTTTATTATGAATAAGTTTATTTGCTTCTCTCAGGTAAACATATTTTCAAAAGGCTTTATATAGCAGTTAGAAACACTTATGTATAGCTCTATCAGTTGTTGCTCGAAGTACAGTCTCGTTCAGTGTAATAGCACGGTCTTATAGAACAATGGCGAAAGTGGGATCAAAGTTTACGTACTTTATGTTTCGTCACTTGAATAAAGTAGCCGAAGCCCACTTTGGTTTGATTACTGCAACTAGTCGGGTGATTTGTATTTATTCATTAATTTAAAAAAGTATATTTCAAGTCAATTTCAAACCATAACATTGATAATTATAATTCTACAACTTCAATATAAAAGTAAATTATTAAAACGGATGTCCGTATGAAGTTTTCCTGATTATTTCAGTTGTTCGTGATACTGGCGTTTAGGGGATGGATGCTTTATATAACGAAGTTCCTGTGGGGTTTTGGAACTGGCATGCTGTCAACCGTAAGTTTTAGTTTATATAATATGTATAATTTAACTGTTACGATAAAGTGCGAATATACAGCGTGTCGTTACAACCGCGTCAATAAATGAACACACGTCTAACCTACTTGCCAATAATCATAAAAAAAAATTAAACGTTAAAGAAATCTTTAACTAAAAAAATATTTTTCAAACAAACTGATTAAATAAAATAGAAACAAAATTTGTAACATCCTATACAACTACAAGTGACTGATTCATACATTCAGAGACTTTATCATTCGTTGCCACAGCGTCGCAACAAATTTCTCCTTCTAACAGTATGTTTTGTCTCTTTTAAATTCATTCAACCCATTCATATGCTTTGTGACCTTTACAAATGAAATTTACGTTACAGTTTTATACATAAGGGGTTCTAAAATTGTTTGTTTTGGAAAATTTAATAGCTCGGTAAATATTGATGTTTAAATAATGTAAAAGTTTAATACAATTTTAAAAAGTTATCCTTTATACACACATATATTATACATTTATTGTCGTGGTTGCAAAGACACGCTGTATATATATATATATAATTTGTTTTCGCCTTTAAAATATGAAACATTTATTTATGATAGTAATCTGTCAACTTAACTTGAATAGTATAAAATTTAAAAATGTTAATTATAGCTTATCGAGTGCTTTGGCACAAATATGTTTGGATAGTTGGATAGTTGAGATAGTTGAATATTCGTTGTTATGTTGAATTATAATAGTTATACTAGTTGAAATTCAACGCAAAGGTTGTATGCATTTGGCAATGGCAAAATTCGATTCACACAAATGGAGAGGCGAGGTAGAACATTAATAAATCAAATGTAAACGTAAAATGCCGTTTTCATTTTCAGGTGATCACAATGTACTTAGTCGAGATATCATACAAGGAGCTACGTGCAACGTTGTCCGCCGTTACAAGGTTCATGTTCAACTTCGGCAGTCTGCTGGTTATGTGCGTAGGGCCCTTCCTGCCTTACGAGGTCCTCAATTACTCGCTGCTAACCCTGCCCCTGGTGTACTTCGCCGCCTGTTGGTGGATACCGGAATCACCTTACTACCACCTCAAGGAAGGACGGATCGACATCGCCAGGAAGGAACTCTCCAAGTTGAGAAACATAGACGCGGACGTGAGTAGAACTCGCATGCAGCGTACACATTTATTTTAAACTAACGACCCGGCTTCACACTGGTGCAATGATCATATATACATATACATATAAAACATATAAAACGATGTTTGCTTAGCTACGATCTTTAAAGCTACGCAACGGATCCGGATTTTGATACGGTTTTTTTACTAGATAGAGTGATTCAAGAGGATGGTATAATACATTATACCCGTGCGAAGCCGGGGCGGGTTGCTAGTTGTGGATATAATGACAATTTACAATGACAATAGATACGTCATCTATCACTGAAAATCTTTTTTGATTACATGTATATATATATATATATATATATATGAGATTGTAGTTTTTGGCGTCTTAGGTTTTATGTGTGTTATTAATGTTTTCCTTCACCGCTGAGCACGTGATAAATATCAATTAACATTTTAATTGGTGCCGGCACCAATGAAAATTTATATTGTTACAAGCTAAGTTGCAATAAAACGTATTGGAAACGTTGGAATAAAATGTATTCAGTGCCGAATTTGTAGTCTTGGCCGCCCTAGATCCCAGCCCATGTAGTAAGTTCTAGCCGCCCCTTTCTCAGAGTCCATCATTTATGTCTTGTTAACATCGGGCCTTAGGACAAACCCGCCACTGAACGTATTCTAATCGTCACTTTATTTACATTTTAACAGGCACGATAGCCCTCTCGTTTTAGCAAAGTTTACACTGCTTGACTTTGTTTCACTTTCTCTTTGAGTTAATAATTAATACGCCTTTCGACCAACTTTCAAAACTGTCAAGGAAAGATTTTTTCTATATGATAAGTTGCCAAACGAGCAAGCGGTTCACCTGATAGTAAGTTATTACCGCTACCCATGGACACCTAAAACACCTTAGGGGTCGCAGATGCCTTGCCAACCGTTAAAAATGCCTTATGCCGTGATACTTCCACTTCATGCCGGTCTTATGTGAGGCCAGGTGCTTCCCCCAACGAACCTGCCCATTTGTGCAACAGTAGGAGCTACCCTCTGGCTACCGAGTACCCTAACAATAATCTATTTCTACTAAGGCAGGCTTTAGAAGACGAATTGGGAACGATGAGAAACGGTGTCGCAAACGAAATGCGCGCTTCCAGCTCTTATAAGGAACTCTTCACTGGACTTCAAATATCGGAAGGCTGTCATTGTAGCCACTGGTGAGTTGAATAACCCGTATTTTTAAAAATTAAATTAACAGCCTATACATATACCACTGGTGGGCAAAGGCCTCCTCTTTTACATAGGGTATCAGGACATAGTCCACCACGCAGCCCCACCGTGGATTGGCGAACTTCACATATCTTCGAAATATATTTTTTTTGTTATTATTTCGAAAATATGCAGGTGTCCTCACGATGTTTTCATTCACCGCTGAGGACGTGATAAGTCAGCACTTAAAATTAACATTTTCATTGGTGCCGGTACCGGGGATCGAAGTCAGGTTGCTCGAGTATATTGAATTAAAGCTGCTCGCCCGGACACTGAGCTATTACGGCTCTATTCTCTCGTATTATGGAGTAATAAAAAAAAATTATGTCTTTTAAAAGACCACGAGTCTTCGATCAGTTCTACGCAAAACATTATAATGATACCTTAAGGAAAAATAAGATACAATAAGGATATTTTTTTATTATAATTATCTACGTTTAAGGTTAACCAAAATTCGTTCCGTGACTAACCGTCTGTGAAAGATTTATTACAGAATAGAAGATAAAAATCATCGTTTGACTTTTACCTCAGCTACGGATATTTAACACATGACCCGTAAAAAATAACTTTTACTAATAAGTTACTGAAAAAAAGTTTAACGTTAATTCAGTACTAGCTGTTGTTTCAGGTCTAAAAGTGGCGCAGATTCTAACGGGCGGGATGGCGATTCAGCAGTACCTCATTGTGATCGTAGAAGAGAGCGGGTTCAAGATGGCGGAGGCAACAATTTCCATTGTCTATGGTGCTGTAATGTTTGCTGTCGGTAAGTTTAGTTTTTGGAACAAATTGGGTTACAGTAACGACAATATCTGTGAAAGTAAAATAAGGTGATTCAAGTTTTTATCTCCTGTTTTCAGTAATTATCGCCTATAGCAAGTGCTCTACAATATTTTTTCTTGTAACCGTCTTAAAATTTCATTAAGTCAACTATAATCACAAACAAACATTGACATAATTTGTTTACGTTCTCTTTGGTGACGATGGTGTTATCCTCTAAAGAATATCATTCAAAACGCAAATTTCACATCGAAAAACGCTGAGTGCGATGCAATTATCTGTAGGTCACACAAATAAGTGTGGTAATCGAACCTACCACGCGGCCAATAGAGTCTAGCATTAAACTTTATCATAAGCTGTCAATTTACTAGAGCAGGCTGAGTTCAAATCTCCTTCCCACCACCAATGAATTTGCTATTTGCAATTTCAAGTCCTGACTCATCACGTGCTAGTCAGTAAAGGAAATCATCTTGAGGAACGGAAGGAAAATAACAGAATATTTCCGAAAAATATTTCGAAGATATGTAATGTCAGCCCATCAGCGGTGAGTGTTGGTGGTGCACTATTCGTTAATAATCTGTACAGAGGATATGGATATGTCTGATACGTCGCAGCAATGGGACATAGAGGCCGAACAGTCTAAGCAGCGAATAATTTAGTTACGGAACGCGAGTGTTTTATATGAAGCGACCGCTAATTTCAGCTCTCCTCTCTTCGGTGCTGGTTGACAGGGTGGGCCGTCGTCCACTCTTGATCCACTCCTTCTTGGGCACCGGCGTTTCCTTCGCCGCCGTCGGCACCTACTTCCTCCTTCTGGAAGTGATCCGCGTAGACCACGAGGTGCTCAGCCCATACGGTGCCGTGACGTTCGTCTCCATCATTATGTCCACGATATTCTCCAATCTGGGTTTCAATTCGGTCGCGGGCGTGGTGACCGCGGAGATATTCCCAATGAACGTGAAGGCAGTGGCTATGACTTCGTTGAACGTGCTCGGCGGGCTGCTTGGGTTCACCGTCGCCAGGGGTTACCAACTGGTGAAGGACTCCCTCGGCCTGAGCGGTGTGTTTTTCCTGTTCGCGGCCGTGACGCTCTGCGGTGCGGCGTTTACGCACCTCTGCGTGCCAGAGACAAGGGGCAAGAGCCTAGTCGAGATACAGGTTATGCTGCAGGCGCCGCCTATTGTGACGGCACAGTGCCAAACGGACGGAGCGACGAATCGGATTTGGAAGGGGATGTCGAGTTGGCGGAACTGAATAGATTTAAGAGCGAGGAGAAGGCTTAGCCTTCTCGACTACTGAACAATCTCTTTACTGTCTTACTCACTTCGTAACCAGCAAACTATGCTGTAATAAATTGAATAGCAACGTTCTAACGTATGTGTGACCCAATATTACAGAAGAGTGAGATCAATTTTTATGTTGTATGCCAAAAGTTTTGTAACTAAACCAACTGGAAAAGTCATTTATATATATTATGTATATGTAGTATTCTACGTTCGTTCATAGAATAATGAATTTTCCATTGATTTCAAATTGAAATATGTTTAGAATAAGTTTTAATTTACCGGTTTGTATTGATAAGAAAGTTGTTTCAATATTTATTGTAATAGGAATTTGTATCCAAGTCTGATTTTGCGGCATCCGTGTTAGTCCATTGGGGATTAGAAAATATCTGCATCTTGATTGCATTTCGAAAATCGATGAATAAGATATGGAAAAATCTCTTCTCGAGGGATTTAGATTTTTGCTTACTAAGAATAAAGACAAAAACTTTCTTGAATTCCTACAATGTATTGAAAAATAAGCCTTTTTAAACTGTGTTTTTTTTTTTTAAGTCTGAATAGTGCAAACACCAGAACTTGATTTAAATTCATTCTCGACAATAATTGTTCCTATTTAACTACTTTGAGATGTTTTTATTTCTTTTAAGTATAATCGAAATATAATTTCGCCAGCTATTTTTTACTGTAATTTTATTTTTACGATAGTTAAAAATAAACCTATAGCCTAATCTTTTCGAATTTCATTGCGTTTAATGGATGTTTAAGAACTCTCAAGTTTCGAAAACATTGTAATTGTTGTTGTTAACCGTGATAAATTGCGAGAAGTTATTTTTATTAGCGTATTTTTAAAAATATCACTTTGTTAATATCACTTTGTTTTATGTTTGTTATTGTGAAATGAAACTATTTTACGGCCTTTAATGGTGTAATTAGACCTTTAAATTCCCGACGTGTGGCACCATTTCTAGCGTTCTGTCCCGTAACCATTAATCATATACCTACATATATGAATAGTTTCATTTCACAATGTTCGCGTAAATATGTTAATCATGTCAAACATTTTTTTATTGAAAATGCTCTTATGTGAAGTAACTAAGTTTCATTTAAATAATAATAATATCATAATAATATATTTCGTTTATAAAACTTGACATTTAGAATTTTCCTAAGCGTTTAGGACGGAAAATTAGTGTAAAATAAGATTCATAAAGAGTCTTTTTTTCGACTTCATGAAAAGTTGGAAATTCAACGTTATTTTTTCTTTATTTTTAACAATGATTGAACAATAAGATCAGGGTTTAATAACGTAATCTTTTGGTAAAACATAACACTGTAAGAGAGTTTAGATTCACATTTTTTATCTTAAAATAAAATGTAAACCATATTGTAAACATTAGAACACTAAGATTTAAACATTAGAAGAATTATAAACATATTTTTATAAAAAATTTAAATACTATTAAAGATGAACAAGAAAGCTTTATTATTCTTAAAATGAAAAGTTTTCCGACTATATTTTGTAAGAGTTGTTGATATTGTATAGGTATTTCGGCATTTATTTGTAATTTTGATATAAGACGTTCGAGATTAATCTCTGTTAACATATTAACTAAGTCAATACTTAAATTGGCATTTATAATTTTATATGACAATGGGGAAATTAAGACAAGACCTTATGAAATAAAGTTTATATACTCTTATGTTTTTCAATATTGGGCGTGCGAATATTACAGATAAATTAATACAATCTTCTGATTGTAGATTGAGATTGATTCTGATTGCTAGAGTATTTAATTTTTTGGTTATTGGGTTATTTATTATTTGTTATTTCTGTTTTATTATTAACTAGCGAACCGCCCCGGCTTCGAGCGCGTGCAATGTATTATACATATAAACCTTCCACTTGAATCACTCTATCTAGTAAAAAAAACCGCCTCAAAACTCGTTGCTGTTGTTTAGTTTTAAACATCTGCTGTTTTAAAAAACTGCTTAATACATAGGGACAGACAGACAGCAGGACGACTTTGTTTTATACTAAGTAGTTATATCTGCTTCTCAGAGCTGAGTATATTAGACTTAGAGCCAAGCCTTGGGTTAGCCCGTATTTATACTCATTTCATCAAAACTTTGAACCGATTTTAAAATTAATGAAATTTAATTCAGCAGCTTCTACAACATCTTTGTATATCCAACAGTTCTTAAATATTTGTGTATATCCAATAGTTATTTTATCTACATATTATTCTGTCGAATTGTATTTGGTCAGGCGGTTAAATAATGAAACGCGCAAAGTTTTTAATGTTAGTTGTTTATTTTTATTTTACGTACTTTAGTAAAATATTTATACTGGTTATTAGTGATATACCATTTGGCTGTGCTTACGAGGCTAACGCTCGGTTTCTGAAAAGTGTTTCAGAAACCGAGCGTTAACCTCGTAAGCACAGTGGTGAACAGTGGTTCATCGTAGCAATTAACTAATCAGCTATCAAATGGCTATTCTAATGTTATTTGAGTTGCCAAAATGAACGTTAGTTAAATGTTAAATCTTTTTAATGATCAGAATGTCAGCCAGAGGGCGTAAGTGTTTTGTTTTGATTTATAGGCATTTTCAAGCCGGGGCATTGATTTGCTACGTTTTAAATAGTTTTTAATTTCCTTTATTGTTTGCAGCTTTCAGGAATGCCCTCTATAATTATAATTAATGACATGCCTGTTAATGTGACGACATTGTACAGTTAACGACAAAACTGCTTGATCAATTTAAAGACTGAACGTTCTCCTTGACTGCTCTTCAGCTCGGGCTGGTTTTAAAGACTGGCTTTATAACCTATTTAAGTTTTGAGCATGATCCTAAAAGTCCGTAATTTTATTATTCTTTACTTTAATTTTTAGTCAAACTATATAACATTCGAGGATGCCATTTCTTTTATATCCATAATTCATTTAAGTTTGTAGTAGCAATTGAACCCGAACTTTTACAATAATATATAAAAATTATAATGATGTCAAAGAAACAACCACATTAATATTATGTTTCATAGACTCCACGCTCCGCATGCATGCGGAGGCGAAAAGATGATCAGTACAGTTTGGCATCATGCCACGAACAATTTGCAATGAAATGCATATCTTCTGAATTCTAGTTAAAAACAATAAAAACGAAATACATGTGGAGTTGAGATTTTTGTCGGTGTGAAGATATGCTCAGTGGCTAGAACGTCGGGCGCGTAACCTGGAGGATAAAGATTCTAATACATACTCTCAACGTTGAAACACTTTTTGTCAATTTTTATTTCATCTTAAATGTGGAGAATATAGTGACGTAAAAGTTAATATCATTTAAATAAAAGAAAGCATTCGTAAAATTGCCACGATTGTCGCAAATTATCAAAAGTAAGTTTCAAAGTTCGCTAAATCCTGTATTTTAAATAACATATGAAGAATATTTGTTTGTATAGTAAATTATTAGTAGGACTCGTCTCTTGGTGCCTGAGTTGACTCTTGGAGCTCAACCACAGCATATTTGTTTAAGTACTAACTTTATTACCGTACAGTACAATTACACATTTGTGAGAGCTGGTTTAAACTGGACTAAATATATTTTTGTGACAAGACTGTTTGGGTTTAAAGTATTATAAATATCAAATATGAATGTTGACTCTTCATGGCGTCATTATAACGAATGATTTAGTTAGTATACAAATTTCTCACTCTGCGCATGTAGATATACCCTTCTTGAACAATGGTCTTAGAGATAGGCTGAGCCAGAAACCACCCGTCCTGTGCAAACTAGTTTGCTCGGATATTGGTAAATTAACGATATGGATGCATGTACACGTAGACCAGCATACTTTTGTACTCTGAACAAAAATAATAAACGCATTTAGTATTTTTATCGACAAAATTAACATCTATTTATGTAATAAAAATGATCACTGTCTGTACGTGAAATATATATGCGAAAATCATACTATTATTTTCGGGGCTTTTTATCAACGCAATGTAACACAAAGAAATGGTTGTTAGAATTTTTGTCTGTTTGTCTTTGCGGTTGTGCTTATTAACTAAACGGAATTAATCCATTTGGGTTTAGCAGTTTCCACTAATTTATTGTGGTAAGCTCACTTGAAATTACATAAAGAGTGTTTGTTTTATTTCAATCAATTCACAAATAAAAAAGTTACATCGATTTGACGAATCACGTTGAACACATTTTGTTCGATAAAAATGTCTGAAACTTTAGTTCTATAAAATAACGTATAGTAAATGTTTATACAAGCTAAATAATTGACAGTTTAGTATGTTATGAATGTATGTTGAGATCAACTTAGTCTGGAGACCGTCGGTTGTTGGACACAAACACGCGTTTATATGTGAATATAAAAGAGCTATCCTTCAAAAAAGAGCTGCTCATGACTTCAAAAAGAGCAATCTATAACATTGGAGCCCGGAATACACATCAGAGATCTTTTTAAAGAGATTAATATACTCATTGTTGCGTCCCAATATATTTATTGTAATATTTTGTATGTTAGACATAATCTTAATGGTTACCTAAAGAATAGTGACAGACATAAATTGAATACTAGAAATAAGGACAAATTAATTAATAAGGTCTAAAAAAGTGTGGCTGTGGCTGGCGTATGTATAAAAAAGCCCACAGTCGATATTGAGTCTGCCACTTGATCAATTTAAACGCACAGTTAAAAGTGAACTTATGGTTATGGCATATTATACAATTGCGGAATATCTGGACGACGCCAATGTGTGGGGTTAATATTGTTGATAGACACGCAGGCTAAAATAAGACATACCTGTCCTATTATATTGTAAACTAATCGTTTAAAAAAGACCAACTGTTGATTTTCTTGCCGGTTTCTTCTCAACAGAAACTGCTTTCCGAACCGATGGTAACTTGCGAACGTATTAATTTTTTATGTAAATCTTTGACGTTTCATAAGAAAAGTA